ATGTCCTGACCGTGTAAAAGTGACAATAGAGACAAGCCCACTGTTCTCACTCCCAGCACAATTTGATCCACCATCTACATACAAAAAATTAATTACCATTACATTGCACGTGGGTTTTAATTTTTCAAGATCAATCCACTTACGTATGAATTCTAAAATATGAATTAGAACAAAAAAAAAATTAATTAACATGAATCACTTACATAGCTGAGACTTCTTGATTTGGACGCACAAAAAACAAAAGATTGAGTGGTCATGAATCAAAATTTTGATACTTCAATTTGACAATTTGACCCACCAAAAAAAAAATATTTGTGCAGTTGCAGTCTTTGATCTAAAAAAAATTACAATTGTCTTTAAAAAAGTACATATTTGCATGTTTATTACACATATATTGTATTGTGTGTGTGTGTGTGTGTATATGTATACCTTGAGATGATAAAGGAGTAGAAATACTGTAATAGGCTCCTGCGTATCCCTCACATTCTACTTGCTTTCTTCCTAAGTTGGCCTCCATAGTAGACTAGTATAGTAGTGCTATTGCTATTGCTCTAAAACTCTCTTCTTCCTATCTTCCTGCAAGGACGGAATAGGGCTAGCTTATCATATATTGATCTATATATATAATAATATGGGTATATATATGTCTATGCATACCTTGATTTCAATTTCGTACAAGTGCAAGTGGATGGATCAAGTTCCTCTCTCTCTCTCTCAAACACCGTTCTGTGCAAGTGAACTGGAGGGATCAAGTTCTCTGGAACTACTAATTCTCTGGAACTACTATCTCACGCAACTTAATTGCAAGTTTTCAGCTGATGTCATGCCCAGCATGCCATGCTGAAGTCATTATATTATATTGATCTGTATAATACATGTCTTCATAAATAGATTACCGATGGTGCTCTAATATATATGAAATTTTTTATATAATGCCTCCTAAATATAATGCCTCCTAAAATTATTAATTTATAAAATTATCTCTTCTTCTTCTTCTTCTTCTTCATTATTTATTTATTTTTATTTATTTATTTATTTTTTCTTCAATAGGTCTCGACTCGACTCAAAAACCCAACATTCTTTAACAAATATTTGAAATTATTTATTTCAACTCTGATTCAATATCAAAAATCATATGAACGTGCACGACTTTGGAAGAAATTCATATGAAAGTGAATGACTTTGGAAGAAATTGGGTTCAACTTGTACAACTCATACATAGAGAATTTAAGAGAATGAAGTTTGATTTTATGGAGCCAAATCCAAATGATCGAAAGAAAGCATTGGAGACTATCTCCAGAATCTTGAATCTAATACTGTCTCTTTTTTTATTATTATTAATTTTGTTTTAGAAAACTACACTTTGGTTGAGTTAAGAGTCCAAAATAACTAATGGTCTAGTTTAAAAGTTTAATTTTTATTTTAATTGAATTAAGTAAAGTAATTACATTTACATTGAGAATCACATTTCTTAGGTCCAGAATGTCCTTCAAACTATTATTTCAAGGTGGGTTTCACGCCCCATGGTAATTTGACAATAATTGGTGACCTTGAGCGCAGGGCCAGCCCTGGGCCTAGGCAGCCCAGGTTGTTGCCTAGGACCTCCAATTTGAAAAAAGAAAAAAACTAGGCCAAGGGCCTCTCAAAATCTGCAGTTGGCACGAATTATCTATTTATCAACTTTTAACTAATTTTACAGTATAACTCATCTTTCCTAGGTATAGATTATGAAAATATTCATTCATAAAAAACGTTAGAACACCATTGCATGATCTCCATTCTTATGTCTAATAGGCCTCCACCAAATACCGTCCAATAAGAATGGGTTGAATATAATTTAAGAAACAATGTATTAATTATTCAAAAACTATTTAATCATTAAAATCCAATTGAATTAAGTCAATTACTCATAATCATGCAATCAAAATACATAATATATTAAATTCCCAAAGTACAGATCAATTAAACCATAGTATTCAGATTCATGCTACATCAATTCTCTAAGAGAGGAATTAGCTACTCATGACGACGCAAGGTATCATCTGTGTTGCTGTTGTCTTCATCGCCATGGACCGTCAAAACTCCTTTTGGATCTTCTTCAAACCCAAAAAGCCGCCGCAAGAGAGAGATATGAGATGATGGCCTAGATGATGGATCTCCCTTAATGTGTCTTCTCATCTTCTTTTATAGTGGAGAACAAGTCCTAATCCCATTTGAATTGGTTTTACAGCTTTTAGTAACAATTGGGCTCATAAGGAAATAAAGAAGGGTGATTTTGCACAATTCCCGCATATATTTTTAACCTCCAAGTTGTCAGGGCTTGAGCTCCACCTGTTAGCAACTTGTCCTGACGTTGTAACGCGATTTTGACACATTTAGAGTGCGAATCTCAAGATTGCTATTATGAACAAAAACATCGGGCTTCGAGTCACCTTTCCATAGCAGCTGAGTTTTCTCAATTTAGAGTTTCGAGTCAAAGGTTATGCCCAAAATACTGAGGTAGGTCTAGACTTTTCTAAGTTGGGCTCGAGCTTGCTAAGTTGGGCTAGAGCTTTTGAAGCAAAGCTTGAGCTTTTTGGAACATGGGTCAAGCTTTATGGAATGGTGCTCGAGCATCACTTTAATACTTAGCCAAATTTCTTCAACTATTTTCCGAAGCGCATTTTTTCCATCAACACTTAGAATATTTTTGGGTTTTTCCTTTTAACAGTGCTCGATCCTATCTTCATGGTGCTCGAGCCCTAGGTCTAGAGCTTAAGCTTTTTGGCTCAGGGCTCGAGCTTTGTGGAACAGTGCTCGATCCCTTGAGTCTTGGCACGAGGTCTTAGGAGCATGGCTTTTCTGAAATCAGCTTTTCAAATTTTGACGCCTCATAGGCTCGAGCACCCTAAGGTTGAGCTTGAGCTTTTAAGGTCAAGGCTCGAGCTTTGCTACCTTAATTGAATTTCTTGTTTTTTTACTAAGCTCGAGCTTTAGAACTGAAACTCGAGCCTTGGCATAAATTCTTCCAAACTTCATTATTTTGACTCTCGGCTTGCTTTGGATGACCGACAACGACTTTGTAAGCTTTGATATCAGTCTTTTCATCATAAAATCCCAGTTTTAATTATTTCTTTAGGAAAGTACCTACAAATACGAAATAAACATAAATCAGTATAAAACTGGATAAAAGTATCACTTTAAATCTTAACTTACGTATTTTTAGGAGTTCAAATACGCAATATTCAGCGTTCATCAACTGCCAAATAAGGCTTTTGCTTATTATGGAAGACTTGAGACTAAAGGTTGGGATGCGGAGCATAAGTTTAAAGGTTGATCGCTAAAGGTTGACCACCGCCGCAGGATGGGGCTAATGGTGCCATCCCCGGTGATGACTATGATAAATTGGTAGATTATTTGCCAGAGATCATAAGGCTCTGATATCATGTTAGAAATAAAGAGAGTATAATTGTATATATATATATTTGTTAAAAGTGAGAAACTATATTGTATTGATGTATGAGATATTACATAAAGGTCTTATATATAGGAAAAGGTTTGGAGGTAGTTGAGTAATGAACAAATAACCTATATATACTAATATAGTAGAAATATTCATATATGGTAATTTGTAATATACAATAAATCTAAATGGTAGGTAAATGGAACTTGTAATATAACAATATGTAAATGTAAATGTAAATGGATTGTGGGTTCTGGACAAATCCAACCCATAGTCTGACCGATGCATTGAGTTTTTGTTTCAATGGGGATTGTTAATGATTGTTCCAAAAAGTTGTGTTACATAATATTGGGTGTATGTCAATGTTTTTTATTTATTATTTATTTTTCATGGCATGTCAATGGTCATCCCCTTTTTTCTTGTATTTTATTCACAAAATTATAATTTTAATCATAATGTTAATGAAAAAAACTCATTTAGGGTTTTTTTTTTTTTTTTTCATTAGTTCTAATGAGAAGGAAAAGTACTCTTGCACAGCTGATTAAGATACTCTTTCATTATAATTTTTCCCCTTTATTTTATTATTATTATTATTATTTAAAGTTAAAGCAAACACACAGACTCATTATTGAACTTCCAATCTGCCCCTTTGGAGAGGAGAGGAGCTCGTAAGATCCATTAATGGTCCACAGTTTTAAAATGAGCCTAGGTGTGGGTGTATTTCTTATCCATGGTATATATATATATATATATATATATTTCTTCTTTTTCTTCTTCTTCTTATTATTATTATATATATATATTTTCATTTTATATTCTTTTCACTTTGTCCTTAAGGAGACTTGAACACTTAACCTTTAAATTTTTTTTAAAAAAGTACCATTTTCGTGGTGGGAATAGTGAATTAATTCAGTTTTTTGTAGTTTTGTTTCCACAATTAGTATAAATCAGGTTAATTCGCCACAAAGACAAGTACGTGAGTGTATCAGTAGGTAGGGTACTATATTTATATAGACATACATAAAAAAAAGAAATATTTATGAATATATACTAATGCAGGAGTAGATGCATTGCGTCTTGTCGTAGCATGGATAAGAAAGTGTAAGGTCTTATAATGGTGGCCGGACGTTATAAGTTTGAATGTAAGAAAATGCCAGGAGGTCTTGTCCCACATAAAATATTTTTATAAATATTTTATTTTATTTAATCAAAGTAATTTCAATTTTAAATAAAGTTTGGTGAAGCACAAAAAATTTATAAGTTTGATATATTAAGCTCATTAACGTCCATAGCCAGAGCCAAAAACTAGAAATTTTCATCTATACATGTCGTTCAAGAAAAGATGTGGTTTACAAAGGTTAAGCCAAATTATCCAATCAAACTATATGTATACATCAGTACAACAATCTAATTTATTAAGGCATCATACTGCAGATAAGTATCAAATTAAGGTAACAGCATGCAGTGTAGCTTTTGCACTACATGCAACAATTCACTCCTGTGATGAACCATATACAAATTAAGATGATCAACAACATATATAATCAATCAAAAATTATTAATTCACAATGCGACATTTTTTCCTAATCTCTCCAGCATTTCCTGTAAGCACTTCTATAGCTGCCATCTTCTTCATAGATTTACCAAACTCAGAGAAAAAAGCATCGGATGACTGCAACTGTCTCACTATCTTGGCTGAACTCCTGTCTGTGAGGAGCGCCACGTCGGATTGGAACAGTCCCATGTTCTTGTTAAGGATGCTATAGTAGTTACTATCGAATGAAAGCGAGCTCTGAGTGTCCATTTCTACAGTTGTCGCGGAGTTGGCTGGATTTGGACACTGCTTCTTCAAGGACTCAGCATAGCTTGCATTCAGAGAAGGATCAGCATCACCTTTACCAGTAAAATTATAAAGCCTTCTCGAAAAGGTACCACAATGAGCTACCCCAATTGTGTGTGCACCTGATAATTAAATCAAACTTATTGCCTTTAGATTTATATATAATTAATATATTCCTGTTCAATTAATTTGTTGCATATATATATATATATATATATATATATATATATAATAGTGTTCAATTGCTTTCTGAAAACAAGAAATTATATATTCACTTTTAATTGTAGCCTTAAGAAAAATGGCAGAATTAGACAATTTATTAAAGGAAACATGAATAAAATAAAAAGTGAGTATATAATTTATTTAGATCTTAAGGCTAGTTACAATTAAAAGTGAGTTTAGCAGTTCAACAATACTGATATATATATATATATATAAGTAAAGTTATCGTATAGATATAACCTACAATTAGTTTTACCTGATAATACTACAAGATCATTAACATTGAGACCTTTCTTGGCAAAATTTTGCCCAAGTGTGGTGAAATCCGAGAACGGTGATGGTATGTTTCCATTGGCCTCTGATGCCATAGAAATTCTGCCGTCTCTTCTTCCAGTGAGAACATCCCACTTGGGCTGCTTAAACTGCAAAAATAGTAGGCATACAGATGCATAAGTGAACAAGGAACTACACACGAAAAATAAAAAAGAAAAAGTGTGTACGTACTTATATTATCTAATTCAAAATATAACCGAGGGATAATATTCCTTTTATATATATATTTGTATATATATATTCTAAGGCTTAATAGTCTAACCGAATGAGTTTTATCTTATCAAATTTATCTAAGGTAAAAAACTCTTAGTTAGGACTTTCGATTAGACTATTAGTTTAGAATAGCATTGTGTCAACTCCCCAATATTGTTCACAAAAAAAAATATATATATATACTTACTGGAAAGGAAACGCAATCGCGAGCGGCCAAGGTTAAAATATCAGCACAGGAAACAATGCCTTGGCAAATTTGCTCAAGTTGAGTCTTGATGTCATCAATTACATCAAAACCCAACAGTGAACGATTAGGTGTTGCAACCTTCTCAGACTGGTTATTTCCAACTGTGTCCAACAGTATAGATGCATCACATCCCTGCATGCACAATCACAAACAACATTATGCATGAAAACATGCATGTATATAAATATACATATGCATGTGTGTATAAAGTATGTATGAGATATGCATGTTGCATGCCATTTGATCTCAAAGCTTTGAATGATAGTCATGAACCTTAATTACAAATTCTATGACACGGTAGCATTAATGAGAATTAGCCTAAATGGTATGATCTCTCATTTTTCAACTACGTCTGGACTAGGAATCAAATATTGTAGAGATGTGTGTTAGCTTAAACTTTAAAAAATAAATAAAATAATATATATGCATGGTTACATGAAGTGTGCAGTAGTGATGGACGTACTCTAACAAAGCAATCATGGAACTGCATTCTAAGCAGTTTAGCACCCAAAGTAGGGTCATTTTGAGCTTTGCCCCATGTGATGTTCCGAACAAGATCTTCAGCTTGAGGACAGCTTTTCTTATAGAAATTTTTCCTCAACCCATCTGCATCAACAACTCCAACCACAGCTAGAGTACTCACCAAGATAATGAGAGAGATTTCTCTAGCCCTCATTTTCTCTCTAAAGAAAGATTAAACACCAAAGAAGTAATAACAATAGTACTAGGAATTGAAAACAAATAAGCAAGGAAAAACCTAGGCACATGCTAATAACAACCCAAGAGATCGAGTTTCCTTTTATATGCAAAATAATAATAATAATAATAATTAATAAATGAACCCATAAGAGCAAGAGGTTTGTTGGAGTATCAGAATATAAAAATCCACCACCACCTTAATTTCCTTGGCCTTGGCTTGAGGGTTTTGTCAAACATTTGATAATTTATTTAGCTTCCCAAAGCTTTTACTTTGCATTTGTCACCATTTGTTTAATGGCTTTGAGCTCCTTCCTTGAAGATGCATGATTGCATAAGACACAGAAAGTGATCCATGAAGGTGATGATATACACAATCTCATTTAAATATAAGGGTAAATTAAACTGACCTCTTCTAAACAACAAACCATGCAGTTTCATTTTGAGCGAAGCTTGGGAATTTGGGAAAATCTCATAAGTGGGATATTTAAAATTTATTACTTTGATCCCTCTTAAAATTTAGGTATATGCTCAACAATCTTCCTCTTCATCAAAACTTGGAAAAAAAAAAAAAAAAATCAAAATTTTTTTATAAAATAATCAAGTTGCCCTTACATTCATTTTTTTTTTTTAATTTATAAGATATTTTTCAAGAGAGGATAGGCGGTGATGAAGAGGAGAGAGAAAGTATTAAGAGAGACTTGACAGAATAATTATTTTTTTAACATTTTATAATATATTTTTGTATTATAAAATTATAAACTTAAAACACTCTACTCACGTAAGATTTGCACAAATCTCAAAAAAAGTAAATATAATTTATTCTAAATATGCCCTAACGGTGATTTGGAAGGATATATATACAACACAATCACTTGAAGTTTAAGTTAGGGGCTGTTGGACTCTTTCTTTTTTTTCTTATTGTAAATGACCGTACTCTGAAAGTTATGTGTTTGACTCAAATTTTGCAATTTTATTAGCGCTTAGAAGATAGTGTGTAATTAAATAAAACTAGAGGGTATTTGAGTAATTAATGCAACTCACAATTGGGCCATCTTATTATAATCCAACTGTAGACAGGGTGGCACGCGGCGCCATGATTCTCCGTGTTCAAATAGTTGGCTCAATCAAACCCCTTTGGTTTATTTGACTTTGACGTTTGAACATAAATCTGATTTCTCACGAATTTTGGATATCATTAATTATTTCTTTTTCAGCTCGATTGTCAAATAGTTCCGGCCAAATAGACCAATTACACAACTACTAGTGTATATATATAAATTAAGTTAACCACCGAGAAGAGGATGACAGATTAACCATTAAGAAATGTTTCCCTTTTCGTTTATCATTTTGTATTAGGGCTATAACCGGACAAGTTAAACGAGTTTGAAGTATAATTTGAAATCAATTTATTATATAAAATGTTAAATTTAAGTTCAATTCTAACCCTATTTTTAATTTTAACTATTCAACCCGAGCTCAACCCATCCTTTTACTTTTAAATTCGGGCTTGTAACTCGGACTTAGATTCCGAGTTACTCATATGACTAATCTTTATACCGAAAATTTAATATAATCTTGAATTAGTTTTACATTAAATAAAAAATTTAAAGACTTTTTATAAATTTTTAATAAATTACAGACAAATTTTTAGAAAATTAATTCTCTTAAATGCTAACATACAATAAGTTAAGATTTAATAAAAATAAAAATAAAAAAAAGTTGAAAAGAATGTAATCATAGTTTAAATTTTATATATAATGTATTTAAAAATAAAAAATATATATATAAATAATATTATAATTTGGGTTCGGATTGACTTGGGTTGCTAGCACTTCAACCCAAGTCCAACCCTAATTACTTTTCGGGTTGAGATTTTTCAACCCAAGCCCAACCCTAATTATAAAAATAATTGTCCAAGCCCGTGAAAAATCGGGTTGGGCTCAGGTTAACCAACCCAAGTTGCACCCCTACTTTTTAGGTTATTTTCAGAAAATTAAAAATTAAAAAATTATACAAAAACTCTACTTGATTTAATTTTTTTTAAAATTATTTTATGAAAAGGGTTGTTTGGTAATGTTTTTATTTATATATTCCTCATTTTTTATTAATATTTCTTGGCGTTTCTATGTTTTTTAAGTTTTTTTTTTTTTAAAACAAAATCAGCCTTTAGTGACGTTCATTTGTTAATTAAATTATGTAAACAATAAAAAAGAAACAAATTTGGTTTACACAAAATAATCAAGATCTAGTCCATTATTCTGAATTTTTTCGAGCGTTTAAGTAGAAAAAAATAATAATAAAAAATATATAAATGAGCACATTCTAAAAAAGTAAAATTATATTTATTACCCATTTTCTAAGCTATCAATCATCATATATCTATGGTTTGATTTGGTCAATTTCTAAGTTTCAATCATAATAAGAAAGAGATATCAGGTATGATTAAGAGTACATAAAGTGGGAGTAAGTGATTGGCCAAATATTTAGGGTTTTTGGGGAGAGTAAGCATCAAACACGGTGAGAATGATAGAAGTTAATTTTTTGAAAAGAAAAGAAAAAATAAAAACAATTAAAAAAAAAAAAGATTGAGGAAGAAGAATTAGTAGTTGCCCTGTTTTAAGTTGTTGTCGTTGCCGACGAGAGTGAAGTGAGAACATTGTGTGAATATCAAGAGAGAATATGGAGTAAGTTTAAAAAGTTTAGGAGAGAGATATAAATAACGTGTTAGTAATAGACGTACAAGTTTGGAATAGTTTCCCCGTAGTTTAGTTGGGAACAAATGGATTTTTTTTTTTTTTTTTTTTTTTTTTTTTTTTTTTTTCACAAAATGGGAACTTTTGAGAACATGTTTCCAAAAATTAAAATTAAAAAAAAATAAATTACTAAACATGTTTATCAGGCTTATTTTTATTTTTTAGGGTTTTGGAAACAAGAAACATGAAATAGAAACATTACTAAATGACCTCTATATTTTTAATATATTTCTCTATGTTTATGGAAACATAAAAAAATATTTTATATATTTTTAATAAGTTGTGTATGCTTATGGAAATATTAAAAATATATTGTTAAAGAAAAATATCCTTTTTTAGGTTATAATAATAATAATAATATAAAAGAATAATTTTGTCTTGCAAAATATGTTTTTAATATTTCCAAAATATGTTTGTCTTGCAAAATATGCTTTTGCTAGACAGTCCTTACCACTCCTCTCTCAAAATTGACTCAATATGGATGCAATTGCGCAGTTGGATGATTGAAATATGCTAGAAGTCGGAATAGCAAAAAGGGATGAATCCGAGTGAGACTCAAAAGCACATAGAGATGCAAATCATATCTGCTAGGATTTTAAGGATTTTCATTATTCTTTTTCTTCTTTCCTTGCTGAAATTAATTAAATATTATAGGTGCAGGTGCAAAAATTCGTTTAACTAAAAAGCCAAAAGAATAAATACAACTCACTCAAATAAAAGAACAAAAACAATTCAGAGAAAAGCTTGTAATGCTTGATGATCTTTATTGGAGGTCTATGCCTCTATTTATATACAAATTGAGGAAGAATTATGGTAGGATTCGCTATGTTTGTCCCCCACGTTTCTTCCATACAAATTTCATTCCATATACAATTCCTTACATACAAGGTTCTTTCCTTATATAATTCTTTCCATGTAGAACTTTTCCTATGTAGAGTTTCTTTTTATAGAGGATCCTTTGCTAAGTAGGACTTGATTGATTTGAACAGGACTTGGATTATAATGTGAGTGGGCCGGATTGGTCTTTTAGCAGGCCGAGAGGTTAACGTTAATAACCTTGGGCCGATAATGACTTTTCTTGGGCTTGATCAAGACTGGGCTTTGGAGGGCTAATGGAGAAATAATGGGATAATACTTTTTTTTAATGACGTGGCTAATTTTTATTAGTGGGGGATTTTTCCCTCCATAGTAGGGGTTTGTTTTCATAACATAATAAAACAAATATGTAAGGGGGATATCTTGAACACAAATATGAAGGATGCAGAGAAGGTGTTTGATTACGGAAGAGAATGACACCAATCTAACGAAATCTAAATGGAGGTAGGGAGAATATGCAGTAGTTGTGACAGAGTTTCAATCTTTTTTAGTCCTGCCTTATTCACTGTGGGAGAGTGATATTTATAGACCATGAACCATCTTGGGTATTAACTAATGGTCCGTTGTACAACTCACTCTTGTTTATGATAGCCTGAACAGTCATGATAGACCTAGGAATTTAAGTGGTCAAATCCATTTATCGAGCCATGCATTATATTGCGTCTTTCTTGTTTAAGGCATTAAATGCACTTTGTCATTACTTGACTGTCGGTTGGTCAAGCATGTAATGAATGATGTCAAAGCATTAAATGTGATAGTAAGGTTTTTTGTCACAGTATATTTCCATCATCTTGTTGATCAGACCTCGCTACAAGTGGAGGCATTTCTTTGTTTCTAATCCACTGGCCCAAGATCCTTCAAGGCATCCTAAGGTAGAGTCCCAAACAGCTAAGAAGGCCTTATATTCATTTTGTACTATTGTTTGGCTAATGCGGTTACGGTGGTCCGAGGGTGAGCTCCTCGGGGGTTTATTGTCCTGGCGCACCACCGGGGTTAGAGAGACTCGAGGTTTAGTGACCTAGTGCAATGCTTGGGTTTGAGAGACTCAAGAGCTAAATCCTCAAGGTTTAGTGACCTGGTGCAATGCTAGGGTTTGTGAGACTCGAGGGCTGAACCCTCAAGGTTTAGTAACTTAGTGTGATGCCAAGTTTTGAGATTGACTCGAGGGTTGAATCCTCAAGGTTTAGTGAACTAGTGTGATACCAGGGATTAAAAGACTTGAGGGCTAAACCTTCAAGGTTTAGTGACCATGTGTGATGCCAGGGTTTGAGAGACTTGAGGGCTAAACCATCGAGATTTAATGACCTGGTGCGATGCCATGGTTTCTGTGATACCCCTATATTTCGAA